GCGTGCAGGCACACTATAGCAAAAACCTCTCAAAAAAAAAAAAAAAGAGGATTGGAGTGGGGGATTCCAGCCCTGTTGCCTAGTGGTTAAGAGATGCTGGATCCCACAAGCTAACCACATGGTTCAAATTCCAGCCCCAGTGACTTCAGAAATACAGGGCACATGTGTGTGTGCCCCAACTCCTGACAAGATGAAGAGATGGAGGAGAAAAGATTGCAATGTGACCATGCCCTATTGGCAATGATAGGCAAGGAATGACAGATGAGAGGGATGACAGGTGAGAAGTTTTCAAAAAAAAAAAAAAAAAAATAAGACAGAGGGCCAGCTGGTGGCATGGTGGTTGGGACGGCTGGAACCCACATAGCTGGCTACATGATTTGAGTCCCAGACCCACGGGATGAGAAATACTCCAAGTGGGTGTGTGTGCATGCACAAAATTGTGAGAAGAGAATGGAGGACAAGACCAGAAGACTAGAGGGAATGTTGCGGCATTGACATTCCCCCTAGGAGGTGTTTCTCTCCTCCTTTCTCTCTCTCTTCAGTGAGTGCACACATCCTATAGCAAAAGTTTAAGAAACAAAGGTGAGAGATTACATTTATGCCCCTTTTAGTGTTGAGAAACAGAATTCAGGAGGTAAGTGATCTGAGTAAGTGAGGTGAGAACCTTGGGTGTGATTTGATCCCAGGTCCTCACACCTTACTCCCCATACCTCCCCCACAGATTGCTTCAGGAAGGGCCCCTTGGGGAAAATGACCTGCCATCCCTGAGAGAGGCACCCAGGAGATATTTAGTGCCCTCATCAGACCCTGTCAGACAGGACAAGGCAGAGCTGGAAGGGCAGGTGAGCGGGAACTCCTGCCTTTGGTCCATCCTTCCATCTGGGCTGGTCCGTCCACACATGGGCTGCTTTCGTCCAACAGTTGTAACATAACCAAATGCCATAGACTGAGTGGTTGAGAAACAACAGGCACTGGGGCCAGCAGGTGGGCATGGTGGTTAACGCACTGGGCTCCCACATGGTCGACTGCAGTTCATGAACCAGACCTGGTGCCTTCCCTTCTCAATTTCACTGTCCTGTAGCAAATTAATAATAGAAGCCAGCAGATGGTGTAGTGGTTATGGTGCTGGACTCCCACATGGCTGACCATGGTTCTGGTGGCTTAAAACTCACACTGGGTGCATGTGCATGTATGCCCAAGATCTCAGGGGGAGAATGGAGGAGAAGGGATTGTGGCATGGCCATCCCTTTTGGGGCGTGATTTCTCACTTTCCTTCTCACTATCTCTGTCTCTTTTCCTGACAAGCACATGTGCCCTAAGGCAAAAACCTCTTTAAAAAATTATTATAATAATAGGAGGTAGGAGATGGTTTAGTGGTTAAGGTGCTGAATCCCCACATGGCCAACCGCAGTTCAAGTCCCAGACTCAGCGGCTTGAAACTCAATGCCTGGCACGTGTGCATGCATGCCCAAAATCCCAAGAGGAGAATGGAGAAGGGAATACAGTGTGGCCATCCCCCCGGGGGGGTGATTTCTCACTTTCTCTATCTCTCCTGTGACCACATGTGCCCTATAGCAACAATCTCTTAAAAAATAATAGTGATGGGAACCAGCAGTTAGCATAATGGCTATGTCGCTGGACTCCCACGTAGTCGACCATGGTTCGTGTCCCGGACCCGGTGGCTTAAAACTCACGCCGGGCGCGTGCGCGTGCGTGCCCAAGATCCCGAGAGGAGAATAGAGGAGAAGGGATTGCGGCGTGACCATCTCCCCTGGGGGGTGATTTCTTGCTTTCTGTCTCTATGTCTCTCTCTGTCTGTCTGGCGAGCGCACACGCCCTACAGTGAAAATCTCTCAAAAAAAAAAAAATAGTGATGATAAATTTAAAAATAAATTATTCTTTTAAAAAACAAAAAAGAAGAAGGGACCAGCAGTTGGCATAATGGTTACATTGCTGGACTCCCATGTAATCAACCTCTCTGGACCCAGGGGCTGAAAACTCACATCATTGTGTGTGTGCGTGCGCAAGATCCTGAGAGGAGAATGGAGGAGACAGGATTGTGGTGTGGCCATCCCCCCAGGGGTAGTTTCTCGCTTTCTGTTGCTCTGTCTCTGTCTGTCTCTCCAGTGAGTGCACATGCCCTATAGCAAAAATCTCTCCCCCCAAAAAAAAGAAAGAGAGGAAACAGTCGCCCTTACTTCCCACAGTTCAGGAGGCTAGAGGCCAACACGAAGGCGTCCGTTTGGTCAGTGTCTGGTGAGACCCTCTTGTTGCAGACTGCTGCCTTCTCCTGTGTCCTCACATGGTAGAAAAGAGACAAGGGAACTCTCGGCCTGCTGTTACGAGGGCACCAACCCTGTCACAAGGGTTCCCTCTTCATGGCCTAATCGCCTCTCAGGCTCCACCTCTTTCCACCATCACCCTGGGGACTAGGGATTCAAGGTATGAAGCTTAGCAGGGACACAAACGCCCAATCCCTGCACAGGGCAGCCCTTCTCAGACCACCCAGTTACCTGAGCTTTGTTTTTCTCAGCTCTAAAGTGCTCATAAATGTCATCTCTCTCCTGTCCAGCTGCTGTGAGAGAACTGGGGTGATTCGCAGGAGCAAGCACAGGTGCCTGTCACCATGCCTCTGCCCAGCAGCAAGCACGCTCAGAGCCGGCCGGTCAGTTGTGGCGAGTAGGACACTTGTTTTACTAGTCTCTGGTCAGGATCTCTGGAGCCAGAGCAGGGTCAGCCCTGCTAGAGGCCCATGATCCACATGGCAGGGGAGGGTCTTTTTTTTTTTTTTTTTTTTTTGGTCTTTTCACCACAGGGTACATGCTCTTGCAGAGTGAGACAAAGTGAGGACTCACCCCCAGGGGGATGGCCACACTGCAATTCCTTCTCTTGGGATGTTGGGCATGCATGCACACGTACCCAGGATATTTTTCAGGCCACCAAGTCTGGGATGTAAACCATGCAGTTGGCCTTGTGGGATCTAACATCTTAACTTCACACCACCCACTCACCTCATTTTATTTTTTTTTAGATTAGATTTTTTTTTCCCCATAAGTTACATGTGCTGCCTGGCAGGGGAGGAGAGAGAAAGAGAGAGATTGAGAGGGAAAGTGAGAAATCACCTCCCCGGGGGATGGCCATGCTGTAGTCTCTTCTCCGTTCTCCTCCCGGGATTTTGAGCACTCACACACATGTGCCCGGCAGGACTTAAACTGCAGTTGGCCAGTTGAAGTTGGGGGTCCAGCATTTCCACTACATGTCACCTGCTGGCCCCGACTCCTTTTTTTTCCTTCCATTAGTGAAAAAGAGCAAGAGACAGAGACACTATCAGACAGAGACAGTATCTTCACACCAAGATCCAACGTAGCCTTTGCCAGCCCCTAATCATGGGTGCGTGTATCCTCAGGGAGGCCTGGGGACTTGAACCATGAACCTCCCTATGTGGGTCAGCCCCAGGAGCATTGCATTTACCACTGAGCCACTATCCAGCACCATGGAGAGGCTCTTTTGAACAACTCTCCCAGCCGTGGATGAGGGATGGCAGATTCTCAAGCTGTGGGGTCCCCAAGATGGTGAATGGCACAGCCCCCAAGCCCACCCAGCTACCCGAGTTGGCTCAGGGCTGACGGAGATTTCCTTCTGGGCGTCTGAGAATTTCATAGCAGCCCAAGTTGTGGGCCTAGAGGTGATAGACAGAGGTGCAAGACCATCAGCCGAGGTGACCCTCCAGCAGCTATGAGTTGGGACTAGGAAAAATGGCCCTTCCTGGGACCAGCAGTTAGCGTAATGGCTATGTCGCTGGACTCCCATGTAGTCGACCGCAGTTCAAGTCCCAGACCCGGTGTCTTAAAACTCACACCGGGCACGTGTGCGTGCATGCCCAAGATCCCGAGAGGAGAATGGAGGAGAAGGGATTGTGGCGTGGCCATCCCCGCTGGGGGTGATTTCTCACTTTCTGTCTCTCTGTCTGTCTGGCAAGCGCACGCGCCCTATAGCAAAAACCTC